GACTTAGTGTCTCAATTTGTCTATAACAACTGTAATGCAAAGCAACTTCCATTTTCACTGAAAGTGTGTTAGTATCAGTTTTATTAAATAGGCAGGAAACTGAAGTTTACCACTGTTGCTAAGTATAAAGATTTTAATGTGACAACTTCAATTTTTTCCCCAGTGAGAGTTCAGATCAAAGATGGACTACCTCCAGATAACACAAGCTGTCTTGATCACCGTGTTAAGTAGCTTCCTATTACAAGTAGGTGTTGGAGTGGGATACGGATCCGGAGTAACGACGCGATCTCAATGTGAGTATGATCGTTCTCCTTTAATAACTGTTTACCTTGTCATTATATAGAAAGCAGACCCGAGCACGCACAAGCAACAGGTATGTGATTGGTTACAAGCAGTTGTCCACGCGTCTACAATTTATTTCTGATTGGGGCAAAGGTGCTGGGCACGCATAGCAGGCGTAACTTAACAGCTGGACCCTGTTCCGTTATCTTTGTTTACGCTAACACTGTATTCCTTTCTAGTTACTGTTCAAGGACAGCTCACGATGGCTCTGAGGCTTTCACCGGCCTCAGAGCCTGCCTCATAGCCTGGATTGCTCACAACAATCAGATCATGTCCCCTTTCTTGTAGCCATCCTTCTACAAGTAGGGGTAGCCTACTGTAAGGACTTGGAATTCCCTACAGATTTCTGTCATTTAGGCTTTGAACAGTAATCCTTTCCAGATTCAGATGCACTAGAGAAAGAACAGTCTTGTTTCTCAACCCTGCCAGTAGGATTCTTCCAATGTAGTTGATGGAGCTGTTTGTGCAAACACTATGTAGACACTGCAGTGAAAATCAGCTGAGTTAGCTTGGCTTGGCAATTTTAAACAGTTAAGCCAATCCAGAACTTATTAAATTTGTTTAATTCAAAATCTAAGGCTAACCAAGCATTTATGAGATTACTTAAATGTGTATGTGTATGTGGCTTTGAACAGTCTACAACACCAGACATACAATTCAGAACAACTAAATGTATACTTGGGGAAAAAAATGCACAAGAGTCAATGTGTACTTATTTCAACTGAAAAAAAAATTCTCCAGCTCAGTTCAGAATGACTTACAACCTATTATAAGAGCAGTACTTTCAGGTAAAGTCAGAATGCAAGACAGCATTACAGCTATAGCTTGAAAACCTGTTGCCAAGGTTTTTCTAAGAAGTTGAAGACAATTGTTGAAGCATGTTTCTGATGATGAGAAGTATTGCTTCAGAGACAGTGAGATTCTCTTGTCCAGATGATCCACTTATGGGGAAGCTGGCATGCAAGTCTGTTGAAAAATATCACCTGAATTAGTGTACTGAAGTCAGTCTTCATTTGCTTAACCTGGGCTAAAATCTTTAGAGGCTTTGCCAAGACAGCCTGACTTTGCCAAACCAGCAGCTGTTTTACTGCTTCTTCATAGGGACTGTCAATACATTGTAAGAAAAGAAACTGACCATATTTTATATAGACCTTAAACTTCCAAGAAACAGAAAGTTCTAAGTGATGGCAGGATCTCTGGATGTCCCATCCAACTCAAACTGCTCTGTGAAGAGAAGAGTTAGATATAGACCTTGCCTACGTAAGTACATGGAATGACCTCAAGAGCAGGAGTACACATCTGTTAGAGCAGCATTATCATTCTAATTAGAGCATATATATATAGGTATCTTCCCATAGATACTAAAATCTAATGGAATAGCTGTATCAGCACTGCCATTTATGAATTCAACATTTACTCTTGTCCTTATTGAATATAAATTTGGAAATCTAATCACTTTAAGGACCATTTCATTGTAGGAACAGTCACACTTTGGCTGACCTCCAGCTCAGCTAGAACAATCAAATGTTTTGGATGGCCAAGGGAAATAAAGAGCCAAATTGACATACAGAATACAAGTGCTCTTGAATGGTGATTATTGTTACCAAATGCTAACCAGAAGCCTTAAATGACTGCAAGTAGTCAGCCCTTGCAGTCTATAAGGTCACCATGGATACTGTAAGAAAATCCGAGTAAGAGACTGAATGCACATCCAACACAAACACCTTCCCATGGAAAACAGCATTTCACTGTCAGTCAGTACATGCTTGAGCCAGATTATGAGTTTTGTTTTCCATTATATATACTGGACAGGTTCCAAAAAGATGTGCCTGTCATTTTCTCTCCTTGCTCCCCAGATTTCAAGTCATCCTAACCCTTGACGTAGCATTCTACAGAAAAAAAATTCATAGGACTTTGAAATGAGAAGATGGGTTTTCATCAAGGCTTCCATCAACTTTTGCTAATACTTATTAAAGGCATAGGAATTAGCAGGTATAGAGGAAACGGGTATGACATTCAGTTTTTTTAAAAACAGCTGACCGAACATCAGTTTGATTATTAGGACCTGGAAGAAGAGAATTAAAAAGACAGTTGTTCCCTTCAGGCTATTCCCCCACCCCCAAGAAAAGTGATACAGACACTGAAGGGGAAAAAAAAAAAAAAAGGAAAGGAAAGGAAAAAGATCATATAGGGTGAATACCTTTCTCCACAACTCTAACTCGGATTTCTCCTGGTTTGACAACAATGTCAGGTGGGTTCTTGACATCGCAAATGTAAGTGCCGTTGTCCCGGAACTGCATGTTTGATATACTGATAGAAGCATCTTTCTTGTTAAGATCTCCAGCCCAAGTGATTCTGTCTTTAAATGGTATGTCCTTTCCAGGGTATGGCTTTCCATTAGAGTAATAGAAAAACTGTAGTCAAGGAAAAGAGGATATAAGAACAAGCCAATTAGAGATTACAGAGTTTCCATGCTTCTCTCACTATTACAGCATTCTCCCAGAATCTACTGTATTATAATACACATGGTATTTGAGTTTTTTTTTCCTCCTGCCTCAATCCCTTTAGTCTTGTTTGTTGGCTCTTGATCACATAACCATGCCTATGGCTTATACCTCAATCGTACTACCACAACAGCCTGCAAGTTTCTGTTTTCTGTTGGTTTTGGTTTGTTTTGTTTTGTGGTTGGATTGTTTGGGGTTTTTTTCCTGTTTCTGGGGACATGGGGTTTCGCAGACAAGGAGGTGAGCGAAAAAGAAAAAGGCTCATAACCTGGGAATAATGAAAGGATAGAACAGTTCTGGATCACAGCCACCTGTCTTTCAGGCACAGGAAGCCTTTTGCATCCTAGTAGGAAAAGGATATCTCGTGTTTTGCTGTGTGTTACTTGCAACTACAGTACAGTTAAACTAACATGTAATACCCTCCTTGCCTTGACCCGCAAAAAAATCCCGTGAGCTGTACACAGCTGTTTTCCAGAAACCTTCACAGTGACTAAACATAACTGTTTCCCAGTTTTCAGGTGACAAAGTTGCACATTGGCCCTGCACTCCCTAGACATGACTGAAAATCCTTGAAGAATTAACCTGTTTAGTACAGAGTGAGGAGAAGCTGTATATTTCCTCACTATACCTGACCAAAAGTGGAATTTACAGCAGCAGAAGTGCATAGACCTCTACAGGACAACTCTGCTTTCAAACAGATGGGATGTTTGAACACTGGCCATAACCCTTAGAGAGGGATCAAGGCTTTATTGCAGGACCACATTCATTCTTAACTTCACATTCTGAAAGAGAGCAAGACAAGCTTAACTCAACCAAGAATCAACCCAATCTCTCTTCAGTTCACTCTCCAAAGCATGGTTAAAGACATTTAAGACAACACTCCAGCTTCCTCTTTCTACAGCCTTCTTTATGAAACAGGCTCTCTGCCACAGAACAGACTGGCTAGAAGTCAGTCTTCTTTCCATTCAAGTAATTTCCCATCTCTTTTCCTGTTCCTACCCTTGACCTGAGGCTTGCCATTCCAACATTCTCTCTATCAGACCCACACTCTGTATATCAGGCCTGGTCATTTGGCAGCACAAATGTCTTATCCAGACCAGGTATGTGCACATGACCATCTGATGTGCTGCAGTCAATCTGACACTTATTTGCTGTCTACAGGCTAGCATAATTCCAACAAACTATCTCATCTGGCAGGAAGTCTGCTAGCACACAGTTGTCTGTCAATATTTTGGAGGAAATCCACATCAGTCTGCAGCATTTCCAGCTGGATTATAACCTTTAGCACAAAGGCACTGCGTACCACACCCCTGTGTACAGGGGAGAGTCATCCAACTGGAAGTCTAGAAGGCAAAAGGCAGATTCCTCAGGTCTCTAAGTGTCCTCACCTGGGGGAAGAGAAACCATAAAGTAAAATATGTCCTGAAGCACAAGCTAAGTGACTCAAGCTACTCCATGCCTATGATAAAGTGATTTAACGTAAGACTTCCTTTGAAACCTAAAGCTGATGGGTTTAGACTGGTTTAAGCTGATTGTGAAACTCTGCAGTCATCAGATGTTTCACTCATGCAGAGATGTCTCTATAACCAGGCATGTGGAGGGGGAAGGGGACAAGCAAGTGAAGCTTTCAGTCAAGTCGGCCTCACCACATGGCCACAAGATTGCAAGTGCTGTTTCTAAAGAGGCACAGGACCATCCTTTTCAGGAGAAGAATGGACTTAGCTCAGACATAAGCTGATCATGAGATTGATCTTTCAAATTATTGCCCACCAAGCCATGTAATTGACATGACTTTGGTTTATAAAAAAAATCTTCCCTGTATACTTCCCCCAGCCCCTCAAAAGAAACGGGAATTAACAGCAGATCATGCTGGATCACTTCTGCTCAAAAATAATTTGCTTTTCTCTCAGTTGTGCTGTTAACTACATCCAGGTAGAATGTATAAATTGACTTCACTTCCAAAAAAATGTTACGTCCTGAAGTTTTCTTTCTACAGTAAGGAGTTTGGACAGTGATGCAAAAAGGGAAAGGCAAAACAGGATATTTCTATGGGGAGTGGAAAATGTACAAACAGATGGCTTCTTTTCACCCATCCTCTTTAGCATTGGCAGGAAATCTGCCCTACTTCCTCAAGCTTTTGCCCAGATACTGCTTTGGCTTCCCAAAGAGAAGAGCGCCCTTTTCAAAACTAAATATTTATTCACTGAAAGTTCAGAAGGAAAGAGCTCCTTCAGAGCTCTATATATTGAGCAAGATGCTCATAAACTGTTTTGGATCATCTCTGTTCTGAGCATTGAAGGGCTCCTAGAGTTTAAATTATCTCATGTCTGCAGCAGAGGAACTTGCTGCCCCCACATCTTCCCTGCTGCCCCAGACTCCCTTGTTCTGCTTCCTCTAAATTCTCACTCAGGGCAAGGAATAAGAGGGAAGCAGAAGTGTCAGAGAGCTCAGACTCAGATGTGCACAGCTTACATGACAGAGGAAGAAGACAGCTAACAATCTACCAAAGCCACTTCTTTGAAGGTTCACACCCGAAGGATCTGAGCACACTTAGGCTCAACATATAGGAAATGAGTGATGGCAATTACTACTAGCCTACGTTATTTGCTAGTCTGATTTTTTCTTGACAAATAACTAAAATATGAGGAAGTAACTGCTTACTGATTTGAGCAATTCAGTTCTGTTCTGAAATTAGGGAGACTGGTCTTATTTTAAAGCCTTTCAAATAGAGGCTATACAGTACACAAGCAGAAAATAAGGAACATGCACAACACACAATGTAACACTGTAATAGCGGTAATTCAAATTCTGTGACCGCTATCATTCAGCGCACAGATCCACAGCTCATGTGAAGTGCAAGAGGATATAGAACTTAGGAGAAGATTTCTACGTGCTCTTCTACTGCTACCACACCAACACCCCTCTTCTCTGACTAACGAAGTACTAGTATATTTTACAGCCACTGTGCACTCCAGTCTTTGCAGAGATCTAGCATACAGCAATATTGTTAAATAACTCTGAAAAAGCCTCCCCTAAAATCACAGTGATGGAGACAAGATACATCAAAGGAGGTTCCAATCCATATTTGCTTGCTCCTCAGAACCAACCAGAAGACCTCAGCACACTTATCACATCCTCCCCTCCCAGGTTTGTTCCCCTACAGCCATTCCTTACTGAGATACGAGTTGCAGCTCCCTCTGGTTGAAAACTCCAAGAAACAGATGCTGCACTGCTGATCACTTCCACAGATGTGAATGTGCATGGAAGCTTTGCGTCTGTCCCATTCTCCACAAATATCTCCTCTGGTGTGTTGACCTCTACTGCTGATACTTTAACTGTATGGGAAAGGTAAAGAAAAGAAAGAAGGAGAACAGTGGCATCAGTGCTGTTTCGAGAACCTGGAAGTTAAAGTGGTAACTGTTCATATCACATTGCTTGTAAGGGGAAAAGAGAAGAGACATCAACAACTCCTACATTAAGTGTGTGCACAGACATTGCATTATACCTGCAATACAAACAAGTATGGAGCAGGCCAGTTCATTTCTCTTTCCTGGTATTATCTGTTACAGGATGTTTTCCATCCACAGATGTTTCCTCTATAGCAGCTTGTGGAAGTCAATTCTATGCGGCAAAGAGTGAGTTTAAAACTCCTTCCTACTAGCTTCCAGCAGACATTGTAATAAATGAGCCTCATCGGAGGAAGTAACATCTTGGGCCCAGCTATTACTCAGTTTCCTCTCTGGCTCACATCTTGTTTCCCATCTCCAGTTTTTCTCTGCTGTAGGTAGAACAAAAGCTCACCTCCAGAAAGCTGAGGAGTAAACCTCTGGCTCCCAGCTACACCATGTGCTTCTGCTTTCTGGCATGCTTCAAGGTCTTCATGTGCAAGACCTCGTAAATAATCACTCAGCTATAGCTCAGAAGCAGAAGGGTAGTTTAACTTTTTTTCCTACCATGAGGCTTATGCATGGTCAAAACAGCAAGCAGACCACAACCACCCCTCAAATTTAAAGTACTCAGGGTTAATAACGTGCTTGTACTGGTAGTTTTCCTACAGAATAAGTGAAATTCAGCATGATTTGGAAAACCTGTTGGATATATTCTTTATCTGGCACCTTTTAAACGGTGAAAACACTATTCCTATCCAGACTGAAGCAAAGATACATCTGTACATTCATTCAAGTTTATGTTAAGGAACAAAGCATGATCTTGTGACATCACAAAGTAATGTCTTTCAGCATCTGTGTCACATCCACCTGAAAGCAAAAATCCTGTAAAATCACTGTGGGTGGGTGTGTATGTGGCATGTGCCCCCAGTAACTCAAATATAAGTTTTGATTTTTATTAAAACATGGTTTTCAGCATAGAGATGGTACTAGTAATCTGCTTCTGATCACATGATTCTGTTTCTGGACTCCTGGACTCCAATGTCTTAAATTCAGGAGGTTTCCTCCCTTATTAGAAGAAGAAAGCAAGCCTTCCTGCTTCTTCAGTTATCTTAGTTGATTTATTTCTCAACTTTGAATAAACTAGCTCTTGAAGTAGGCAAACTGAAGAGAAAGATTCCAGTTGAAAACAGTTTAAAAAAATAAAAAGAAAAACCCACCTACATTAGTCCTTAAATCATAGGGTTTATGCTTTTAGTCAGTAAGACAAAAAAAGTTAGACAGCAACCTTCTTTCAAATGATACGACCATCCTAAGGTGTAGATTTGCCATAAACCACATTATTTTACTGGAGCTTAAAATTAAGCAAAACCCATGCTCCACAGAGAATTTTAGAAACCATCTTTTACATATGCAACTTTAAGCCTCGTTGCCCAAGAAACCAAAGATCACATGAGCCGTGCCACTTCCCGTCTTTCTTCCTTGCCTTGAGACTACCGAGTCTATTGGGCAACTCCAGCTGACCAGCTGCAGCACAGGGCCACAAACACAGCAGGTAGCAGCAGCTGGCCATGCAATACAGACCGTCTGTGAGTTCTGGAGCTGTAGTTCAGTCAAGGAAATGGCCAAACAATGAAAGAGATAAAAACACCCCGGCCATCTGGGTAGACCTGACAATCAGTATGTGATGCCCTTGTAGGAACCGCTGTCTCTCACCCAACCAGCATGGCAAGCCAAGGGAAGGCAGAGCCCAGACCCATGAGCACGCAAGCACTGCAGTGGTGGGAGAATTGCACATACCAGTCTAATTACAATAACCAAAACCAGATGAAACCACCATTCATTCGCTTTGCTATTCAGAGTCCACACTGTTCACTTCTCAAACTCACTGCCTCCTCAGTCCCATCAGGTTATCCCTGATCCCTCAGACTCCCCCATCACCACTGCTCTCATTTCAAACGAGTGAAAGAGAAACAGCACCCTAAGGGAGGGGGATTTTCATCAAGAGGTTGTATCAGCTTTCCTTCTCTCATACATACTCTATGAGACAAAAAATATTATTTTGTAAAACAATTACCAAATATTTATTTGGAATGTACAAAGGCTTTAGCAATTCAATGAAACGAACTCAGAGCTGCTATATGTAATTTTTTCCAGCTAATGAAGTAGAAAATAAAAAAAAAAAATCCATTGTTTTGAGTCCAAGCCACAGAACAAGCCTCCCTTTCAAGCGTAAAACAAGCAAGATGCCCTCACCATTTGTGTAGGAGGAAAAAGAGTCTGCACAGGCATTGTCTGCTTGTACGTGGTACGGAGAACTCCTTGCCACACACAGGCAGTGAGTAGCACAGATCTGCTTAATCTCTAGAAGTCACTGTCACTGTTCTAACTCACTAGCAACCCGTGAGAGAAGTGTAGCGAAGCAAAAAAAAAAAAAAAAAAAAAAAAAAAAAAAAAATCCAATTTCTCTCTGCAGTCTAGGAAGGCAGGAACTACATAATATTGTATAGATATTTTCAACAAGTTTATTTTCCTATGTCCTATTGTTGTCTCAACTTCATGTGTTCCTTTGCTCATTCTCTCCCTTCTGCATAAAAAATGTCCCTCACTTTATTTGCTCTTTCAGTGTGCACTGCTTCAAAAAAAAATTTCCTGCCTCTGTTGTACTACAGCATGAGACATAAGCTCCTCAAATCTTAACATGATTGTTTGGAAGTAGTAGAGAGGCCACAACATTGACATTTGTTCACCCTTAGCCCCCTACTCCCATACTTTCACTGATACAGTGGCAGTTCCCACTACCTTGAACTCTTTGGCCTCCTCTGCCATAACAAAATCCACATGGATTATCTCCAGCTCTTGCCCTTTTCCTTCTCCTTACATATTTGCCAGGATTACATTTTTCTTCAAGCTCTTCCATCTATTTAAATATTTCAGTTGAATTTTGAGTCATATTCCAGTCACACTTACCCACTGCTCCATTTCTCAAGCTTCCTCAGCCTTAGTTCTTCCCAAGAAGAAAAAATTTATCACTGTCTGAGAAAGAAGAGAGCTTTAGGAAGGGAAGGTTTGCAATGTACCTAGGGCAAAGATAAAAATTTGCTCTTCTCCCATGGATCCTCTTTGCTCCCATCACTCTGTCCAACTGCCCATAGCCTCAAAATTTCCCTCTTAGTATCTCTTCTAGCCTTCAATTGCTTTAACTTTTCTTTTCAGTAGAAAGATGCTTCAGTTTTTCCTCACTTACCATCAAAATCGTTGGAAAAAAAGCCACCTTTGCCTCTTCAGCCATTTCTTTTTCATCTTGTGTTGTTGGAGTAGTTTTACTCCAAGTACATCAACACTTACCAGCTAAATTTTCATCCCCTACACTCCAATGAAAAGACTCCACCCTCATCTTCCTTCTCAGACAATCCTTCTATTCTTCAAATAGGACGGGACGCTTATACTCTAATTTACTAATCTTACTGCTTCTACCTACTTACTAATCTTTTCTTATTGTTCCCATCATGGATCATCATTCTTCATCAATACTCTCTCTATTCTCAGCTCTTGCCTCAGGGATCTCATCTGCAAAACAAGTTCAGCTCCCATCACTGCACTAAGCAGAGACATCGATCTGTTTCCTTATGTTCAAAGAACAGTATCAGTCTGACATCTTTGTCAATGCTAAGTTGTCAGTTCATGCTAAATGGGACTAAAACAGAGCTCTTTTCTTCCCCCATAGCTCTCCACAACTGCGTCTATCACCATGGACCAGCCACATGTCTCTTCAACTCATAACCTGTACGACATTTTTTATTTTGAACTCTTCTGAGGTCAAGGTGGAGTCTTTCAGAGTTTCTAGGCATCCACTCAGCTGACGCGGTCTAAAAACTCCATTTTGTATCTTGGCCTTCGTTACTGCAATGTACCTTTTGCTCTAGCCAGATGGTCAGTAACAGACCAGTAAGCATCACAGTTCCTGGTAACTAAACTGCTTCCAGGGTGACATTAAGAAGAAGACATCTCATATGCAAGATCACTGCTTGCTTCCATGAGCTGACTATAGAAGATGTAGTACTCAACATCTGCATGCCCACAGGAAGCATTACTGACTATACAACATCGCCACCTAATCAACTTTACTGACTTAATACTGTTTTCACTTGCTTGTTGTGAATAAACAAGACCTTCCTAACTCTGAAGGTCTAACTCTCCAGTAGCTTAAGCAGATCTGAAGACGCAGAGCTTCTCAATTTCTTCATAATAACACGAGCATGTCTGCCATGTTACACAAAACTAGTGAAAAAGCGACACGTTTTCATATAGCTCATCCCTGGCCCAGCTCACAAGCCCCAAGCACTGTGCCGTCACTGATATTTTCTTAAGACTGGCAACGATATACTGCTTTGAAATCACCCCGTGAAAGAAGCCTTTACAGTTACCAAGCAGCAAAGTATAGGAAGGAAAGTTCATAAGTGATAGCAGACAAGGTCAGAATTGACAGCAGACAAGCATTCATAACCACAAGAGTTTGCATCTAGTTAATTAACCAAATTGTGGTTAACTACTTAGCTTTCAGTAAGATTAAGAGCAGTCAAGCTTCCAGTTTTCACCAGAGTAACATGAAAGACTGCAGCATTGCACTCTTAAGTGAATATGACTGGTATCTTTGAAATGGGGTACATTTTGATCAAAAAACTCTTAGACAAGATGTTGCTGTCTACAGCACACTGATGGGAGTCCTCCTCACAAGTGTCCTCTCCAGGAGATCTTTGGCCAGGTCACCAGAAAGTCTCCAAGTCGCAAGTCCTGGCAACTTAATCTGCACAGGAGACATAGCGTATGTGACCTGTAGTATATCTTACAGGTCAGAGTCGGGATTCCGCCCCTTGTCTGCTACCACTACCTGCTTACATTCAAAGCTATATCCTCAATTAAACACAATAACATACAAATTATGGTCCGCTCCCCAGAAACAAGGTACATGGTCATGAGCTGACATAACAAGGTTACACAGGGTTAAAGAG